GCTCAGGTACAGTTTTTCTATCAACATTGGGCTCCAGTTCTGAGGAAGGGTCACTGGACCTGAAACATTAACTCTGATTTTTTTCTTCATAGATGCTGCCAGACCTGTTGAGCTTTTCCAGTAACTTCTGTTTTTGTTCCTGATTTACAGCTTCCATTGTTCTTTTGGTTTTTATTTATGATGAAGAATAAGAGGATACAGGTTTAAAATGATTTGCAAAAGATGGGACACATCTTGTTCTTGCTCCAATGAAGTCAGGTCTCCACCAGTTAAATATTCCTACTCTGGAGTTTTTTTTCCCCACCATCATCTTAAACCTTATGATACAACGATCACTTTCTCCCAAATTCTCTTACTTACACTAGATCAAATGGCCCAACTCAAGCCTAAATACCAGGTCCAGGAGTGCCATATTTCTTCTGATGAAGAGTCACTGGACTTGAAAAGTGAACTGCTTTCTTCCCACAGATGCTGCTTGACCTGCTGAATTTCTCCAGCAGTTTCCGTTTTTGCTTCAGATCTCCAGTAGCTGTTTTATTTTAGTGACATCTTCTACACAGACAGTTACCTGACGCTGTAATTGAACCCTGGTCCCTAGCGCTGTGAGGCAGCAGTGCTAACCACTGACCCACTGTGCCACCCCAATTTCCTGGCAGATTTGTTCTTCTACTTCCTTCCCAATATTTAGTGGCTGACAGACCACAGTGAGCAACATCATTGCACCTTTTTTGTTAATTGGCTCTACACAAATTGATTCTGCCCTTGAATCCTCTGGGATAACTCTTGCCAGCACTGCAATGTTCTCCTTAACCAATATCACCACCTCTCCTCCTTTACTTGCTTTCCTTTATTTTGAGTGTATTCAGGAATATATACTTTTCCTTGCGCCAAATTTCTGGCTTATGGATAATGATGTGGCGAGAAAAATTGGTACCTGCATCTCACCAATCACATTTACTACACTCCATGCATTCAAAAATTTAAGTTGTAAACCCTGGTTACAATGTTTTAATTTCTCCCTTATTCTGACTGCACCTACTAATTTACTGCTGTCCAATCTAATGCTATCTGTGTTTCTCAAAAACGTGTACACTCTGATAATTCCTCTCTGACATTCCTCCTGGTTCTCACACTCTTCTTGACTTAGTTCAAGAGGGTTTAGTTTTAGTTTTAGAGGGTTAATCAGTAAGCTCACAAATGGTATGAAAATTGGTAGGCTAACAAATAATGAGGATAACCTTTGGACTGGTCAGATGGCCTGATCAGTGACAAACTGAATTCGGTATGAATAAGTGAGAGGTAATGCACTTGGACAGGTCAAATAAGGAACAAATGATGAACAGTAGGATATTGAGAAGTAATGAGGGTTTTGGTGTGCATGTCCACTGGTCTCTTAAGGTAGCAGGACAAGCAGATAAAGTGATCAAGAAGGTATATGGGATACTTGCCTTTATTAGCAGAGGCATATAGTTTAACAGCAGGCAAATTATGCTGGAACTGTATAAAATGTTGGTTAGGCCACAGCTAGATAATCGCATGCAGTTCTGGAATCCACATTGTAGGAGGGATGTGATTTCACTGGAGAGGGTGCAGATGAGATTTAGCAGGATGTTAGTTGGGCTGGAGAGTTTAAGTTATGAAGACAGATTGAGTAGACTCGGGTTGTTTTCCTTGAAACAGAGGAAACTCAGGGGAGGACATGTAGATAGGGCACAGAAAGAAACTTTTCCCCTTTGTGGAGGGAGGGATCAATGACTAGGACCTCTTTTCTGTGCTGTAGATCTTTAGACTCTCCAACAGCTTTTACAAAATGCCACTTGAGGAACTTGTTCCCAGCTCTATACAGACAGAAACTGTCTGACTTGTATAGGTGCCATCTCCCCCAAAGGCAGTCCCAGTGTCCCAGGAGTCCAAAGCTCTCCCTCCTTCACAATCTGTCCTGACACACTTTCATCTGTCTTATCCTCCTCTTTCTGTACCCACTTAAGTGTGCCAGTGGGAGCAATCCTGAGATCATTACTTTTGAGGTTATGGTTTCTAAACTTTTTACCTAGTTTCCTAAATTCTGACAGCAGGACCAGATCCTATTTCCTTTCTATGTCATTGACACCAATGTGGATCATTACCTTTGCTGATCACCTTCCTCCAAAAATATGTCCTGCAGCTGCGAGAGATGATGCTTAAAGGGACATAATCCATTCACGCAAGAAATACAACTACATTTAAAGACAACCGTAATAAAGACACCAACTCGGTAACTTTGTTCGTACATCAAGTAGCAATCATTTCCCAATGTTTCTCTTCATTTTATGTGTGGCATTAGAGGGGCAACAATGGCTAGAATTCCAAGACTTAATTATAAAAATATAATCCAAGGACACCCCTATTCAAATGATCAGTTTGCTGGAAAAGAAATCTAAACTTAAACATGCATTTTTATTTAGATTATGCTTTGTAGATTTCCCTTTCAAAGGTAAGGTAACCTGTTTCCAGCCTTTAACAAACACATTCTTAATAGTTAAAAGCCAAGGAATAAACATGGGCTATTAGAAATTAATCCCTAGGATTCTGTTATTTCCTTTGGGGGAAACATCTGGCCTTTGTTCCTTCCTAGATGGCTCATCTGTCTTACAGTGTCCGTCGTCTAAGAAACTCCAAAGGAAAATTTACATCCAATTATTCAATTTCAGTGCATTGTGTTGCAGTGGAGAGAAGTGTAGACCAGTAGCTCTTAGACCCTGCAAAATAACGTGTATTGGGCAGGCCGAACCAATGGCAGAACAATGTGGGTAGCCAGAGGTGAGTTTGGAGCACAGAGGATGCCTTGCCTGGCATGGAAACATGCATTGTAGAAGAGACAGCAGCATGAAGATTGCTATATATTTCAGTAATATCATACAATTTTTACATCACAGAAGGAGCCCAGTCACGTGCCAGAGATATGCAAGTAAATATCATTAAGTTTACACACCCATTTCTTTAAAAGCATTATTCAAATAGTCTTTACCATGCTACCATTTGTAAAGAGTATAATTATTTAGACTGAACAGGGGACCATGATTAATGAACTCATTTGAAAGAGGGTCCTTCAAAGAAAATCTGAGATTTACTGATCTACCATACGTATTGACATACAATTAAACACACATTTCGGAAAGCAATGATCAAGCACAATGTGGTGGATTATCTATTCTAGATGTAACATTTACTTGTTCTTTAACTTAAATTCAATGTCAATACACAGTAGATATTTACTGGTTATGCGCTATATAAAAATCGTAACAATTAGCTATTGAGTTAATAAATGCTCAATGCTAAGAGAATGGAAAGACTCAAATTGTTCTGAAAATGTCTTGCTAAGGACAAAACCAAGTTACCAGTAAAGGACAATTGTAGAAATGGAGGGAACAACTTTTTAAGTCCTTGTAGCTTGAGCCTTGCCCTGACACCACAGAAATGGGCATATTGAGATGGTCAATACCCTAGCAGTCATCTATGGAATGTATTCATTTCTCACCATAGTGGTGAGGTAAAAGCTTTTGACATCTCAACAATATTGTTATAGCTAATGCAAAGCTAACTTCTCTAAACTGGACATTTCATGGATCATTTTGTCAACTGTAAGCTTTGGGTGTTGCTGTGCCTTGTCTGAAAATACTGAATCAGCACATTATCAAGTGAGAATTGCAATGAGTCAATATGCACTGCTATGACAGAGTGTGGTGTCACGAGGATGGTCATTTTATTCCAAATTGTATGAAACATGCATGGCAACAGAATGGAATAGTGAATATGAAACCTCTTTCTTCTAAGAAAACAAGTCAGAGTTATTATTATGGTTTCTGAAATCCTGGGACAAAACTGACCCTGTGCTTTTAAAAGGTGGCCATTAAGTTTTTTAGTATAAAGAAAGTATCCCACCCAAGTAGGTTGTGACAAGATTTTAATACCAATTACAATGACAATCAGGGAAGTTCATGTTTAAGCAGCAAAAGGAAAAATAGATTATAAAAGGAAAAACAAACATAACAACTTAAACCTTGGCATCAACAACACCCCTGCTTTTGAAAATACAAAATTATAAATGTGAAATAAGTGCTAAATGTATTCAAAAATGAAAAAGAGCTACAAAGCAGTGAAATTATGCCATTTTTGGGGGCGTGTAGGTTATTTTCTTAAAGAACAGTAGGTACTGCTGGCAATGGACTGAAAATTGCTTCAGTTTAAGACTGCCCTTATTTTTCAGAACAGAAACATTAACTGACTTTTGAAGGGAGGAAATTAAGGATAATCATCATAAAGATAAATATCCCAAGATGATTTTACATTAAACATCCCAAGCAAGATCCTAACGTAGGTCGAGGGCAAACAAGATGAAATAATATATTTAAAGGCATATGAATTCATTATAATTAACAAGGGAACTTGCAAGTTGATTGTTACATCTTTAGATTTCCTTCCTTACTGCTTATTCAATATTTCCCAATTAAAGAGTTTTTCAATTTGAAATTGCATTTTTACTGTTGGACCAGTGCAATGTAGAAAGAAAATGCTGAAACTTTACAAAAGATACAACAAGAAAATTGAATATATGAAAATAATATCAATGAGGTCAACTTGAGCCAAAGTTCATATTGATAAGACAATCATCCTTCAATTTTAATAACACAATTTGATGCTACTGATAACTGAAAGATTTGTGCTTTTAAAAAGTGCTACAGAATAAACTAATACCACTCATTATTAAAGCGAACTACTTGAATATGGGGTAAGAGAGAAGTGAGAAAAGAATTAACAAAATCTGTATGTTATGGCCCTAAGGATGGTATACCTAGGTAATATACTTTTACCATGATTTCAATATTTTTTTGAAAATAAATGCATTAGTAGCATGTTTCTAAGTGACTCTCAGAGGTGAGCAAAAACCTACTAAACTGCAGAGAATAGTAGTCTACAAATCTATAGTATGCTATAACCCATGTTGAACAAAGGAAACTGACCTTGATGCTCTTCCAAATCCATATCAAGATGTCGAATCTCTTCCGTTACCTGGTTAATTTTCTCCTTCATCTCAGTAAGTCTACAAATAAATATTCGCTGTAATTTTTAGACTGAAGGGATACCATTACATATTAACGACAACTTATTACTGAAGGTAAAGTACTGTCTGCCTGAAAACTACATAAAATGAACTAAAATGTGATCATAACTGATCAACCACTATCAATTTCCTCTTCCCTTTTAAGTTTTCCGCATATAATTTAAATTTTTTTTTAGAAAACGGTTACTTTCAGAAAACTGTCAAGAATATTTTTGCATGGAAATAAATGAACAAAAATTAAGTACAGAAACTCATCAATTATTATTTCAAGTAATTTTTCTGTAATGATGATTTCTTACTGTCTTTCCATGCTTGCTATTTCCTGGTTATCTTCTTTAACCTGTTGAAAGAAGCATGTAGTTTCATTAATATAGGAACCTCCTAATCGAAACAGCTTCATAGCAAGAAATTGTGATTTTTATTTAAATACACATCATTAAAAGCATGGTTACAGAGCTTTAATAGGAGAACCAAAGCATTAGAATATACAAAGATAATATTGCGACATGAAGAATAACTGAGAAGAGCATATGAAGAGTTAAAACCAAGGCATGCTCTTGCAATGATCGTTAGTTCCGTATTAAAAGTGTCCATATACATGTGAATTTACGTCTACAGCCTACTAGTCCAAAAACAACATAAGCTGAAAGATAAGCAGATTCAGTCCTGGTTAGTAATTACTTCTGGGGTCTTATAACAAAGTGGCAGTGTCCCTACCTCTGGGCTAGAATTTCCAGGTTCAGGGTCCTACCTGCAATGAGGTGTGTTGTAACATGTCTGAACAGGTTGCTTATAAAATACATGAGAAGTGTAGTTACATACGGAAACACTATCTGGAAAATGGTGCCTTAAGAAGAGAAAAGACGATGAATATTTGACACAGCTTTTGACAAATCATTGAATCAACAAAGAATCTAGAAGTGCAACAGCTTGCACTCTTGGAGGATTGGTGTTTCCTTAATTTTCTTAGTCATAACTATATGGTCTTGATGTGGTTTAGATTGAGTAACTGATCTGTGCTCAGAGTGTACAATCTTCCAAAAACTAGTACTATGGATATGTGAGAGGAGCACAAATGGAATTTTCCTGATAAGCATATATACTGAATTAAGCTCAAAGACATCTAAAATACAACATTTTTATATTTAGAAAATGCAGGTATCAATGTCTAACCAAAACACACACACTCAGTAATTAGGGATTCCTGAATTGTACATTGTCAGTCAAATATTTACATATTTGATGCATTTTTTTTCTAGCCTGTTCTCCTTCATTCCCTTTGGTGTCCTGGTCAATATTTAACCCTTAGTCCACATCACTATAATAGATTATTTAGTCATCATCCCATTGCTTTGTGGATTTCACTGTATGTAATTGGTAACAATTCCTTTATTACAATCATCACACATTTTAAAATAACTTAATTGGCTGCAGAGTACATTGACACATTTCAAGGCTGTGAAACGAGCTACTTAAATTCAATTCTTTCCATTAGATATTTACCACTGCTAGCAGTATAATGCTTCTTCTTTCAGCTCGATGGTTTAGACAGTTTGAACTATCACTGACCAAAAGGAAATGTGCTTTAGCAGGGTGTGACTGACTTGGATATTTCCTACCCACCCTGAAAAGATGCAAAGTTGTGGGATTGCAAGGTGTTTTGCCTACAGCAAAGCCAAAAAAAATTAATGAGCACAATAAGGTTCAAATGACAGTCAAGGCTAAGACTCAAATACAGTTCCTTTCTCTGTGCTCCACAAGTTTCTGCTGCTGTCTTAGTCAGGAAATTAATAGGCTGAATTTTCCTATTTTTTGGCAAAGTGTTTTTTCAAATGAGATTCCTGGCACCCCATCCACCAAGGTGACTTTTCCAATGCAATCTTCCACTCTTCATCTCATTAAATTTGTAAGATGGCAGTAGAGTAGGTCGATACAGACGGAGCTCGTCTGCTGTGTCCATTTCCTTTTCTTTTTTTCTTTCTTTCTTCTTTGTGTTTTCTTTTCCTCCTTCTCTCTTTTTCTTCTCCTGGCCTTGGACTCAGCACAGACCCAGCACGGTGGTTTCCTGGCCTGGTGTGGCAGCCTTCCAGCCCGGTATCATGGTCTTTCAGTGGTACATAGCATCAGCATGGACTTCTGGTCTCGAGGTGATTCCTTGAAATACAGTCGCACTGTGGCTAAGCACTTAAGAAATTCTGTAATGTTTGAACTTCCAGTTTTATTTCTTTTTTCTATTTAAACCAAAAAGATCTGCAATGTTTCCTACGTTTTATTCTAAACTATAATTGCTACAATTTTTAACTTTGTTCTTTCTTTCTGCCTTGTTCTTATGATTCTGTACCTAGGTACTTGTACCTAAGATGGTGCTTTGTGTGGCGAATTTATACACTTTTCACTGTACTCATGTACAGTGGTACTTGAGTACATGTGACGATAAGAATCAAAAATCTGTAAAGCTAAGGATTTTGTACAGTTTTAAATAAACATCTCAACTTATATAAGCTGTCGCTTTAAGATGTTATCCTATGGAATCATGCTGCTGGACACATGGAAGTGCTTGCTGCTGCTATGACTTTATGATGTTAATACTTCAGCCGCATATTGAAACACCAGTCGTACAACATTTCAAACACTCCAAGTCAGGAACTGCCCTTCACACTGTGGTCCTGTACCGTTAGCTCAAAGGAAATAGCTCAAAAAGACAAGTTGGCATTTCAGGTTGCTAATAGTGACCTGGAGATGCTGTTGATTGGGATGATGGAAGGGAGGGCAATGTTGTACCCTGCTGACCAACAATGGAGGCCATGAAACCAGACTCAGCCACCCTGGACTGAAATAGTGGACTGGGTCAGTGCAGGGTTCTGGGTGAAATGCAACATAGAGCAGTGCAGAAAGAAAGTTATTTTCTGCTGCATTTCACAAGGCTAAGTGCAACCATCCTCTCTCTGAAACCTCACTCACACTAACTTTGCCACTGCACACATCTCTCAAATAAAGGCTCATTAACTACTACTCTCACTACTGCAAGTATCATGTCCATTCAACAGTTCTTCCTCACTTCATACTCCCATCTTCATACTCAATCACTGGAGATTAACCTCCTAATCATCCTGCACTTGTATCACAACAAACAGCTCTTCTGACCACTGTCATTACAACCAGTTCCTCCCTTTGTCTCATTATGGAAAAATTGGCCCATCTCCCTCGACTGATGTCGAGAAACAACACTGATTGGCCTATCTATCTATGATTCTATAACCTCAGACTGCATGTACTCGATCTGCAAGACTAAGTGCAGCCCAATCCCTGGACTGCAAAGCCACTGATATCCGAACTCTTAGTAGGACCAAGCACCTGTTTGACCTTTGCCAACCTCTTGGACTGGAATAGGAGATGAGCCTCTTGACTGATGTGACAGTACCTTTTGAATGATCACAGTCTCCCTTGACCCCACTAAGGACTAGTCGCATTTGACTGTCAGACTTGGCCATTTGCTTGAAGCACATGCACTGTGTTTACCATGCAAGTTGCTGGTGCATGCTGAAGGTGTCATTTGGAATTAGCTGAGTACAGCAATGAGTCCATCTCCTTGACTGTTATTGCTCCGAAACATGTCAAGGTCCTGCCTCTCCCTCTGCACAAAAAGACAATGTAAGTCACAGAGGCAGGCAGCTCCAAGTACGCGTCAAATGATTGATTACTAAGAAATGAAGCTAAAAGCCATAGGATACATCCTGTGTAGATGCATGAAATGCGAGTATGCTCTGGAGTGCAAAGCAACCTGTCAGAAGGATGCAAATGGTAGGTGTAATGTGCGATCCAAAGAGCAGTCTCAAAGAACTGAAGGGTGTGTAAATTAGTCTATGAACAGATATGATGTAGTGACGCTGGTGGTGTGCTAATGTCGATTAGAGTGGACACAAGTTGAAGTATGTTGGAGTATGTAGTGACGTTCTGATGAACACAGGAGTTGGATGAAGGTCCAAAAATGCAAGCTGTGAGTTGCTGCTGCCAGGTTGTAGCTCAGACATTCATTTTGGGGATTCATACTACATATTTTCTTAGGGAAAGAGAGGAGAATTGGATGCCACAAAGAAATGAGATGACTTAAACAATTAAGATATGTAAATGTATGGAAATTAAGCAGTCACCACTTGTTAGCGAGATGCTGAACTTGCCATTTAAATCTTAAGGGGAAAATTGGAATTTTTTTACTCAATGTTGAGATTCTGATTTTTTTTTCATTTTCACCTTATTTTCCCATTTCACACCATTGCCCATACTGCTCAAGGAAATGGAAAATTATGCCAATGTTTTTATTCAAAGGTTAGAAAACACATCAAGGAATACAATGTATGCATTGGTGTCAGTAAAATAATGTCTGAAAGGCCATTGTGGAGCAAAAGCTCACAACATCAGCTAAAAGGTGCAGCAAATTAGAACGCTTACTGGACCGAACAATAATTGATTGTCATCCAGTTCTGTGGAAGCTTCCAACTGAATGCAATCAGCTTTTCTGATTCAAAGTAGTGCAGAATCATTTATTTAACGCTTCACTTTCAAACATCAGTGCCTGTGCAAGATTGCCCATCCCAAGTTGCCCTGAAAAGGTGGTAGTGGACCTTCTATTCAAATCATGGCTTTGCCTTGTAGCAGTTTAATACAACTGCAGTTAGCTTGTCACTGAGGAGGCAGTTTAGAGTCAAATTTCCTCACCTGCTTCAGTAGTCGTTCTCTCTCCTCCTGTGGTGATCCCATACTCTTATCCTCTGCAATCATCTGGCTTCGATGAGATTCAAGCTCATGGAGTTTCTCATACAGCACTACGGCTTCTTGTTTCACCTGGGAGTGAGCTATCTCCTGTGAAATGCAACATGATTTGTATCTTATACAACATCTTACATGACTCATTCCTTCCATTATACTTCCTCACCACTATTTCCAATGATAGCAACAAGTGTGGTATTAGAATAAATGTTATGTTCATTCACCATGATATTTGTGACCTGAATGGATTAATGATAACAATAAAGTTGATTTGTTAAGAATTGAATTTTACAGTGCCATAAATACCTGCAATGTGTTATCTCATCTTTGCAGATCAAACATGGCAATCTCCTGCTATATAATGGTGTCAACTCACTTTTATTGTATATTGCATGTCAGAAATATTTTAGTTGCTTAAATGTTGAATGCTGTGGTAAGCATCCAGTGGATCTGAATGACAACCTTTAGCCTGGGCTCTGCTAATGTTCACAATCTGTTTGAATGATAAAGCAGTTAAAGTTGCCAGATTGAATTTGAGTTTTGTAGATCACTTGAAACAATTTTAGTTCATGGTTAAACCTGTATCCCAGTAAAGACACAATCGGTCGAATGGCTTCCTTCTGTACTACAAAACTCTATGATTCTATCAACGTGACTGCCGTTTCAAAGGGGATAAGGTAATCTTTCTGATCATTCTACTCTGTTAGTGAGACAATGCTACATACTATCCTCCATGTAAACAAGTACTATCTTAACCAGCAGCTTTCACTAATGTAAACCAATAAAAGGTGTGCAAATACTCTGAGTTAACACTCTCTAACTCCACAATACCTTTGCATTACACTTTTAAGACAGCACAGTTAGCATCAAGAGTTGGACATATAAAGGAAGTATAACACAAAGCTGCATCACTATCTCTACAAATGAGATAGATATCAATAAATCTAAAAAGGAATTCAGGAAAGGCTTCTTTCTGCGAGGTGTTTAGAATGTAGAACTACTACCATTGGTGAATAGCATAAATACATTTCAGGGGAAGCTAGATAAACATGACGGAGAAATAAAGAGAAGGATATGTTAATGGAGATAGACGAGGCCAATGAGAAGCATAAACACCGGCATAGACCTTCAGGCTGAATGACCTGTTCTGTGCTGTAAATATGTTGTAACTTTGTGCTGCAGTTTAAAAGATGTTGCACCACTACATCATTTACAAGTTTAAAATTGCCCTTTACTCTCTCTGATCTATTTGACTTGTTGCATTCTACATTTTCTCTTGACATTTAAACTTGCGGAATGATCAAGAATCACAATTACTTTTTCTATATCAGGTAGTGGGACTTTTGATTCATGGAAATGGGAAGTAAAATAAAGTGCTACTAAATATCAATCATAAAATTACTGCAATTGTACATTGTTTACTCATTGCTATGTAGCTGAAATAGCTGAAGGAAAGAATAACATAGATACATTTCAGTAGTTAACTATTATTATTTTTGTTTCGTATTAAAATTGGACATCTATATGCATCAGGAACTTTAAAAATCACAAAATGTCAACATAATGAATGAAGTACATTAAATTTAACATGAAAATACATTTAGTAACAAAGATATAAATCTGAATGACTACAAGTTTTGCTATACTTGATACTTGAAAATATCAAACCATTTGATTCAGTCCTGAAATTCATCTGTTTGAGGTCATAACAGTCAAATAAGTCTAAGCAGATCTACCCTAAAAGGTGCTTGCTTTATATTTAATCAATTCATCAAACTCTTCTCAAAAGATCAGATCAGGATGGAAGCAGCGAAGAGCAAATGATCAAATTTGATGAATTAAATTTTTTAAAATTGCCACAAAAGATTACATTTAGCATTGGCATTTTTTTTCACTGAGGTCATTCAAATTCTGATGTTCATGTTTGTTTTTGCACTAAGTTCACTCAATGCCCTTGTGCATGTTTTCCTGGCTCCTGGTTAAGCAATAGCTTAATTTCAAAACTGTTAATCTGGTCTTTAATTGTTTCCATGGCCTCATCCTTCCTCATCTCTAATCTGCTCTAGCCTCACAAACCTCCAAGATACCTGGCCTCTTGAGCACTCCAATTTTAACCATTCTTAACCATGTGCTTTCAATTGCTGAGGCCATAAGTTCTGGAAACCTCTCTTCTGACATTTCTCTCTCTCCAGCTTGCTTTCCACCTTTATGCTATTTCTTAAAAACTTAACTCCTGGATGAAGCTTTTGACTAAGTGACTTCATATCACCTTGCTTGGCTTGGTATCAAATCCTGCTTTATAATATTCCTGTCTGCTTTATAATATTCCTGTGAAATGCGTTAGGACATGATATTAATGGGATGGTTTAGTATATTAAAAGCACTAAATAAATTAGTTGTTGTGATTCCCAGATTCTGAAATTACTGAAGCTTCATCTTAATTTTATCAAGGAGCTACTCAGCAGATGTTTGAGGCAATTGACATTCCTCGAGACTGGTCTGAAGGAACTGTTGACTTAGTCCAGTACGATTTGGTTATTGACAAATGCTTGGGCCTGAACATAATCATTAACATACCTGATGGCAATGACAAATGATCAAATCTGAATCAAAGCTAAGGATAACAATTAAAGTAGCATTTATGTAGAAAATGAAGCTGACTATATTGATATCCATTCATTATTTATAATTCTACAGTCATGATTGGTGGTGTGGTGGTGCTGTGCCTTTAAGAGTGATTTGTTCTGTACTGTTTCTCTTGCAGAGAGGTGTTGCCACAGTGGTACCAGAATTTCTACTTCAGACGTAGCGGGTAAACAGCTTTGAGCTCCCTGAGTGTTTTTTTTTAAATTAGACAAAAGAAGCATGGGTGGGTGGAGTCAGGCTCACACAGACCCAGGGTTTTAGTTTTTCTTTCTGTTGGGGGTTTGGAGTTGGCTGTTGAAGCTGCTAGATACAGCTCTTTATCTGCTGCAGCAAAACTCTTGAGTTTGCTCTCTACTGCCAGATTGTTTCTTTTGGTCTTCCTTTTTCTGGGAGTGGAAGGGAGACAGCAGGTGAGGAAAATCTGTTTTGCTGAATTTGCTTTGCCAAGGGTGTGTTTACGGGATGCTACAGTAGTGAAACAGTTGATGATTAGTAGTTAAATAATATATAATTTTATTACATTTTTCAATAGAGTTAAAGTTATGCCAATTTATCTTTTTTTGTTTGAATTTAGCTGTGTTGTAGAATAGCATGTGTTTTGCTTAAAGCCTAGTGGTGGACCAATCGAATTACATCTGAAACACAGCACCTTACACTGCCTTTAAATAAACTAAAAATTTAGGGTCCAGGCTATTTCCTTGACATATTTGGAGTGTGTTTGCTCTGGTCCATAACAGTGGTGAACAATTAATCAACTAACTGGAGGAGTAGGCTCCACAAATATAATCGATCCTCAATGATGGGGGAGGCCAGCACATCACCAGAAAAGTTAAGACTGAAGCATGCGCACTAATTCTCAGCTGTATGTGCCAAGTGAATGATCCATTTCAGCCTCCTCCTCTGGAGATCCCTAGCATTTCAGATTGTGTTCAGCCAATTTGATTCACTTCACATAATATCAATGAATAGTTGAAGGCACTGGATACTGCAAAATGTTATGGGCCTGGATAACATTTTGGCAAAAGTATTGAAGACTTGTGTTCCAGAACTTGTCATGCTCCTAACAAAGCTGTTCCAGTACTGCTGTAGCATTGGCATCTACCAAACGTGTAAAATTACCCAGGTATGTCTTGTTCACACAAATCAGAACAAATTCCATGCAGCCAATTAACCTAAAGTTTAGAATTAAAATATTCAAAGCAACAATGCAAATTGTTACTTTTTCATGGAGTTTGGTCATTGAACTGTTAAATAAAGTACTAATGGAAATGAAAATATTTAAAACACTTACCGCCACTAGTGTTTCCTTTTTTGTGTTCAATATGTCTAGTTCTTGTTGCCGAGCATCCAACTCCTGAGAAGATGAAAGGAAGATTTTAAGGGAGCAGCTTTAATGGTAACTTTATCATCAAACACAGAGATAACACTAGGCAGATATTTAAAAGCTTTTGTACGACATTGAGGAATATGATAACGTTTGTGTCAGAATAAAATTATTCTGTAATGTGATTTGTGCACATTTTCCATGTACAGAAATTATAGGTCTCTTACATGAAGCTAACAGTATCTACAAAAAGACTGCGAAGGATTTCCAAACACCTTTTTGTTTTAAATGTGCATACTACAAAACCAGTGCACAAGATACTTCATTCAGCGTTCCAACTTCCAGCTTCTTTCCAGCCATCTACTTCTGAACTTCCCTTCTACGTTTATCTCTTTTTCCATTCACCTTTGCTGTTTCTAAAAAGGAGTAGGAAGCCTCCATGTGTCTCACAAATGTGCAATATCCAACTCAGGTATTCCTTGCTGGAATCCACAATTGCCCTTAAGGCTACATTGCATAGGTTCTTCCTGGCTTCAGCAGTGTATTGCCACATGGCCCCACTCATAATTTCAATAAAACCAGTACTTTTTTTGCTTACACCCCCAGTTTGCAGATGCATAGGGCACATCCACCTTTTCACTTCTGTTCACACTCTCTAAACCACCTAGTTTTACCAGCAATCATTCTTTGAACTTTGTGGTCACCAAGGGTTAGTCGATTGGTTTGGCGACCGCTTTGCAGAACACCTATGCTCGGTTCGCACTAAACAACTGCACCTCCCAGTCGCGAACCATTTCAACTCCCCCTCTCATTCCTCAGACGACCTGTCCATCCTGGGCCTCCTGCAGTGCCACAACGATGCTACCCAAAGGTTGCAGGAACAGCACCTCATATTCCGCTTGGGAACCCCTGCAGCCCAATGGTATCAATGTGGACTTCACAAGCTTCAAAATCTCCCCTCCCACTACCGCATCCCAAAACCAGCCCAGCTTGTCCCCGCCTCCCTAACCTGTCCTTCCTCCCACCTATCCCCTCCTCCCACCTCAAGCCCCACCCCCATCTCCTACCTACTAACCTCATCCCGTCCCCTTGACCTGTCTGTCCTCCCTGGACTGACCTATCTCCTCCCTACCTCCCCACCTACACTCACCTTTACTGGCTCCATCCCCGCCTCTTTGACCTGTCTGTCTCCTCTCCACCTATCTTCTCCTCTATCCATCTTCTAACTGCCTCCCCCTCTCTCCCTATTTATTTCAGAATCTCCTTCTCCTCCCCCATTTCTGAAGAAGGGTCTCGGCCCGAAACGTCAGCCTTCCTGCTCCTCTGATGCTGCTTGGCCTGCTGTGTTCATCCAGCTCTACACCTTGTTATCTCAGATTCTCCAGCATCTGCAGTTCCTACTATCTCATTTACTTAAAGCATATTGTATTATTGTAATTTCTCTTCAACTTCAGTATAATATAGCATTCTTTATTCTGGTTGAAATTTTAATTTACAGATGCTGAATTCTATGTTACATATTAAAGATCCAAAATTTGAAACAGTTTTGTCACCTAGCTAAACAGGAAAAGTTTATTACAAACGAAACAGGAAAACATTACTGAAACTCCATCCTGTAAAGGCTGTCCAAATATCCCTTTGGAGTGTACTAATCAGAGGCCAAGAAATAGTTTTATGATCGTCTGACCAACAAAAAATAATGTTATGAGCAGGATTCAAGTGAATAAAGCCTTTTCAGTTACTTTTATACATGGTATGCTTCAACTATGAACTGACATTCGAGAAAATGGGGCTGTCAATAAAAGTTTCCACGAAATAAACTGACAAACAATACTAAATGAAGTCTGCTTGGAGAAGCTCACATGAAAATAGTTAAAGCTCATATGAAAATGGTTAAAAGAATTTGCTGAGAGTGATTTCCATTCATACGTTTCATTTGAATTTCACTGCACAGACTTTACAGGTTTCCAGAAATTGTGTACATATGTTGTAGCTGCGAATGAATGCTATCTAATTCTATCTATCTAAGTGAGAAAACTTACTTTAATGATTAACACATAACAGAGTTCTCTGGTGGAAGGAACAAATGGCACTTAGGAAATAAAGCAGGGAAGTGACTGCTGTTCTGTGACATAGCAAAATGGAACTTCAGGATCTACAACTCTTTGAAATCCATTAGTAATCAAATGTGTGGAAACAGGTTGGCAGAATAAAGTTTCACAAAGTACCCAAAAATAATAACACAATTCAAAAAGTGGATTTTCTGGGGCCATCATGCTGCTGCACATCGTTCAGTGCAATTGCAATTGTGCTTAAAAGGAAAACCAAAAAATTGTTAGAAGCAGGAGGTCAGAAAGGACCTGCATTAAGTTAGGAAAGAAATACCAATTCAAAAACATCAATGGGAAAGTATGTACAAAACTTGCCCATTTGCAAGGGCTGCAATGTTTCTATTTAGGTAAAGTATCAGAATTATCTACATCGTTTATTCAGAAAGAAACAGAACAATTATTTTGTTAGAATCAAAGGTCAACATTTGAGCTGAAGTGCGTTTGGATATTCACCGAATTTGTATCTGAGTCTATAAAATTAGATTTCCGTAAAGAAAACAATAAATGAAAGCCGAATTAAGGATGTATTTTATTGCAATAGTCACACTCCCTTCCCATTTTTCTTGTTGGTACAAAATGGGCCTACAATTTGTGATGATGCTGTCACTTTAAAAAGGTTATTTTGTCCTTCGTTTTTTTGAAGAGATGTTGTAAAGGTAGAGGTGGCGAAGAGTCCAGGGAGTAACAGTTTAACAATGGAAGGACAGTAGCCAGTTCTCCCAGTTCAGGTTTTTTTCTAGTTTTTTTTTTAATTGTAGCGGTCACTAGATGTTTTGAGTACCAGAAGTGTTGCAAGCTTCAGTAAAGGATTCCTCTGACTTTCCCTGCAATCTCTCCCTGTAATTCCCTCCTGCCTATAAGAATCTGTGTTTGAATTTAGCTTTTTTAGGGTGTGTTTAAGGGATGTTACTATATTGGAACATTTAATTAGTTACATTGCTGTATCGGGTCACTTAGGTTTTCAAGTTACTCTAAATTCTGTTTTCTTTTGTTCGTGTTTGAACTTTAGTGTTTAAATAAATTTTGTTTTGCTTAAAGCCAAGTGGTTTGGCCAGTTGCATCACACCTGGAACACCCACTCCACATCTGCCTTTAAAATAAGAAAAAGTTAGGGTCTAGGCAACGTTCTTAAAATATTTTGAGGGGGGTCTGGCCTGGTCCATAACAAATTATAGTATGAACATAGTGCAGGAAGCGCGATGTGAATTTGATGCAAATACCAATCAAGTAAGGTGATTCTCTCCCACAGATGAGGTGTGATTTCCATGTTTTTTGGTGAAAATTTTCAAAGTTTCTCAGATTCTCACATTTTGTATTCAAAGTCATCACCTGATTCAGAAAAAAATTCACACCTGTAATAAATGCTCATTAATTGATTTCATTTTCATATATTTGGCTTGTTTGTCTTCAGTCATGTTTTTGATGATGGTATCTGCAACTTGTTTTTCTCGTTCAATTTCTTCATCAATGACGCGAATGAGGTCTTCTTTTCTGCAGGCAAGAAGAAATTCACAAAAGTTCAACATTCTACTGTGGTTTAAATCATAAAATGGAATCCTGACTTGCAAAAGAAGGCTATTATTCAAATGGCAGCTAATTGAACCATAAAATGACAACAGAAAATGCACTCTTTTGTAGATTGTGCAAATGTTTTAAAATATATTTCTAGTTCTTTCACATTGTGCAAAAGAAATAGTGTAGTTTTCACAGCAAAAAATAATTTTTCTTCCCCCACTGCCCACTCAGTAACTGCCATACCAAAGACTCTTCTTGAGGCTACTTACTGATTTCTGGGGACTATCTTTTTATTCTTACTAACTCACTTATTAGGTGATGCAGTCATAGAGTAACAATACCTTCTTCATTTGTGTTGACATATAGGATTTTGGTCTTTCACAGAAGCAGAATTATTCCAAATGTAGATATTTCATACATGAAATATGAATATACTAACAAGTCGTTAATTCAACTCTTCATGCCTGCTCTGCCATTCAATAAGATCACAGCTGATTCAAGTATAACCTCAAGTCAATTCCAGCCTACCTGATAATCTTTCGCTCCTTGCTTAACAAGAATATATCTTCGTCTCCCTTAAAAGTATTCAAGGACTGAAATTCCACCACCTGTTCAGCAACAGAGCTCCAATGACCCAATGAGAGATTAATAAAAGTCACTTCATCTCTGTTTTAAATGGCTGACCCATGCTTTTTAAAATAGTGACATAGGTCTAGATTCTCCCATAAAAAAAAATCCTCTCCACACTTAGCCTATTGTATTATAATTTTTGTGCATTTAACTTTGAAGTAGTGTTGGTATCTGGATTTGTTTTTTAAAGACTTTACTGAAAGAACAGTGGGAATTCTTTTCAACAGGATTTATTTTTAGAAAGCACATGGTTCCAGATAATTCTTGGTCTTCGTTGCTTGAAATCACTTCAGGAAAACATCTGACTGTTTCAATGAGAGATAGTAGGAACTGCAGATGCTGGAGAATCCGAGACAACAAGATGCAGGGCTGGATGAACACAGCAGGCCAAGCAGCATCATAGGAGCAGAGAGGCTGACGTTTCGGGTCTAGACCCTTCATCAGAGAAGGGGGAGGGG